TAGGAATCTAGGTTACATTTTACAGAAAGGTCACTCATATATGTTTTATGTACATGTTTTTGAATCTTTAATGATATGATATACCAAATACGACATTCCCTTATTAAGTACTAAGACTGAACAAATCTTTAGACCTATATGAAGTTTAACAGTTTCCTGCCCATGGGCCAGTCACATTTCTTACAGAGTTTAATCCTCAGCATAAGGATTGTTGCTACTATGAATGGTCTCTTTTTTTCTATTTTTGAACTGATTATTACTACTACACAAATCACGCTTATTTACATTACAATGGAATTTTACTATATTAGTTTGAGTATCTTGGGCATTTTTTATTATCTACAAATAATTCTGTCCTTTCCAATAGTTCTCTTTTTCTGTCCTTAATACACTGGCTAAATATTTCAGAGTTACTTTAGTAGTGATGGCAGCAAGTATGCTGCTAATTCTAATAGGAGATAAAATTCTAGTGTTTCACCATTATTAGTATTTTGCCTATTGGCTTGATTCCTAATTTGTTTATAAAATTACAGATACTTCCCATAAAATGTTTATAGTAAATATTTCTAACAGTGAGATAATAGGTGATTATATTTTCCTTCAGTTTCCCAGTAAATGGATTATCTAGGTTTTCTACATCTACCTTATACTTTTTAAAATTCAAATTCTGATTTAGTTTTTAAAAAAAATTATCCATTTGATTAAGAGTCTCATATATATGTGGAAAAGTTTCTACAAGAATTTTACCATTTTTATCTACAGATAGCTACAGTTAAATCCAATAGCAGCTAATTTTATATGTTATTTTTATTACTTAGACTAGTCACAAACTCTTCCAATTTATCTTCCAAGATTCCTAAAATGAATGGACACACACATCTTTATCTCCTTACTTCTCCTAATGTTCCTTGCTTAAGGAGAATGTTTTTAACTCCAAATTACCTTGATTAGTAATCAGTATCTTGCAAAAAGCAAAAGAGTGAAGCAAACCCTAAAAAAGCTTTGTCTTTAGAAACAACATTCTACTGTCCTTTGTGAAAGAGAGCATATCTAAAAAATGCCTGGATACAAATTTCTCAAAGTAAACTTATTCTGCTAATAAAAATGATACCTCATCCTTTTTATTTAAATACATTCATGCTTAAGTACAAGATGCCATAAAAGAAATATATTAACAATTTGGTATTAGGAAAATCCTAACATTCCCAGATCAGAGTTCCATGAAAACCAGATTCCAATATGTTTAATATTAAAACTTGCATGTTAACAAATGTATGTGGCAATGTCTTCAAATCCTTATTAAATTCTGTTTTTTTTTCATATTTTATTAAGTAACCATTATACTGAACCTATCTCATCATCTGAAATAGTTTGAGATACAGTATCAGAAAATGCCAAGTTCAAATATAAACAGCTAACTTTTCATTTTTACTCTGCCAGGGAACTTTCAAAGTGCTAAAAAATGCAAGCTGCTACTCATCTTCTAAAAACAGAAATGAAATAATTAGATCACAATTGATGGCTCCTTTCTCAGAGAGCAAAAAAAAAAAGATGAATGCAACTGGAATGTTTATTGTCACTGAAATTCTTCAGGCCTGGATTCCAAGTATAGGTTTGATGCAGGTTACCATGACAACTTAAATTACAGAAAATGTCCCCCCTTCTTCTACCAAGTTTTTCTGCCAAAAGATCATTTTGAGCCTCCTAAAATCTGTGTGCATGAATTACCTGTAACAACAATAAACATCTCTTTACAAGTTTTATTTAGAAATGCCCCTATCTAAACCATTAAAACCAAGTATAAGCAAATAAAAAATATTTTCCATTAGGGCGCCTGGGTGGCTCAGTTGGTTAAGCGACTG